CCCCCAGCCCCCCCCCCCAGTCTTCTCTCGCTCCCCCCGACGTCTTCGCAGCGCGGAGTCTGTCGAGGACGCAAAGTCAAGCGACGCACCCGGCACCAAGAAAGCACAAGCGTCAAGAGCACTCCGCCTTGGCCAAGTGCTTGAAAAGAGTGTTGGCAGGAGCACAAAGGCCCGGACAGGAACTAACCAGGAAAGCAAGGCTTTGGACAGGAATCATGCGGGAATTGATAAGGAAAACAAGGAAGTTGGCGGGAATTGAACAGGAATTGGGAAGGCATCAAAACCAGAAACGAGCATGAATTGAACAGGAGACCGCAGCATTTGTCATGAATCAGGCAGGATGTGGACAGCAGTGTAGCAAGGAAGTAGACAGAATTTTGACCCGAATGAGACAGGAAAGCGCAACATTTGGCAAGTTGAATGGGGCATGAAAGCGCAGGATGTGGCACGAAATAGACAGGATTGCAACAGGAAACATAACGTAATTACGCAATGTACACAGGAATTCAGCAGGAATTGGGCATGAAAGCTCAGAGTCTGGCAGGAAAACAGAAAGAATGGAACAGGAATTGCGCAAGAACTGCGTAGGAAACCACATACCTACGCAATTAGGCTGGAAATGAGCCAGGAATCGTTTTAGACAACTGTCAGAATATGGCAGAAAAGAAACCAACATAAGTAAGCGAGAAAGCGGAAGGATTCGCCACTCGCTTCAAGAAGGAAGAGGAAGTTAGAGGCATCGGTCCGAAGGTGATAACCTACAGCGCCCAGAGATGTCCTCCCGGCGTAGCGCCGATAAACTGACAATGTCCGCTTCTTGTATTCCTCCTCCTCCTCCTCCACCTCGTCCTCCTCCTCATCCTCCTCCTCCTCCTGCCGCCCTTTCATCCCGCATACGCATCCTCCTCCTCCTCCTCCTCCTCCTCCTCCTGCTCGCACCCGCATCTTCCCCTCTCCCCCTGCCTCTCCTGATGCCGCTCCTCATCCTGCTCGTATGGCTCCTTTTCCTTATCCCAAAGTGTCGGCGAGGCAATGCCAAAGCAGCGAAATGCCTGCGACGCGTGCGGTGACTGGTGGAACGAAGAAGGGACGCGCAAGTCTCGCAGGGCAACGCTAGCAACCGCACAAACAGATTCCTTTCCCTGGACGGTGTTTGCAATTTCTGCGTGGTAACTCTGTGGGGGGGGGAGCTGCGGGGATCCCACCCAGGCGGCGTAGTAGGAGGAGGAGGAGGAGGAAAAGGCAAGAAGGAGGAGGAGGAGGAGGAGGAGGGGCCGTGTTTCGCGCGGGGACAGCTGTCCAGCGCGCGGACACAACGGCGCCTCGCTGGCGCTTTTCCCTCTCTTGTTTGTTCGGGACTCTGCAAGGCTTCTCGTCGCCGCCTCTTTCTTTTCGGGACCCTGCATGGCTTCTCGTCGCCGCGGAGCAGAAAGAGCAACCCGGGAGGGATCCCGGAATCGATGCCGACCCGCTGCGGGGCCGGGCGGGGTCTGCCGCTCCTGTCTCCAGCAGCCGTCCTCCGATCCTTCTGGCCAGAACGACGATGACCACCACAACCTCCGCAACGACGACCATACCGAAGATCGGGTCGGAAGGGAAGAGGGGCCAGTAAAAGGGGGAGTCGGTGAGCCACGACGAAGACGACGACGACGACGAGGACGAGGACGAGGACGAGGACGACGACGACGACGCCGACGACGACGACGACGACGACGACGACGACGACGAGCCGAGGCTCAGCGGCCAGGGCGCCCCGACGAGCACGCAGTCCCACACCGCGGAGCGGATGAGCGCGGCGTAGAGCGGCGGGATCCTCTCGAGCGCTTCGGCGGGGGCGGCGGGGATGAGATCGGTGCTCTGCTTGCTGGCCGCTGGGCCGAGGAGAGGAAGGCGACGACAACGACGACAAAGTCGAGGGCGCGGCGTAGAGCGCCGGGATCCTCTCGAGCGCTTCGGCGGGGGCGGCGGGGACGAGATCGGTGCTCTGCTTGCTCGCCGCTGGAGGGAAAGGCGACGACAACGACGACGACGGGCCATTGAGCTGGTGCTGATCGGCAGATTCCCCAGAGCAGAGGGCACAACAGATCTTGCAGGCGTGTCCCTGTGTCATGAAAAGACTCCACCTGATCGAAGAGGCGCAGGGCCGTCGCAGCCGAAGGCAGCGGAACCTGCTTCACTGGAGCGCAGGCAGGAATAAGCATAGGCAGGAGCACCACAACAACGAGCGTGAGAACCACGAGGGCGAGGAGAACGAGGAAGGGGCCAAGGTTGGGTGGGGGCCGGCGGTCCGGGCATTCCCATAGGCCTACCACGAAATCTGCTTAGAAAATCAGAAATGTTCGAAGAATAAAAAACAATCGTCTCAGAACAAGAACCCGATGTGTCCAAACAAGACAGTCTCGACCAGAAATGTTCTGAGAACATGCAGTGCAGACCACAAAATGTGTTTAGAACCTTCTTTTGTAAGCCTATAGGCTTAGGTCCGGCAGTAGCGACTACATGCAGTCAACCGCCATATTGCGCCAAGAAACTCAAACTCTGAAAAAAGTCACAAGCATCTCGAAGCCAAATCCTGCTAGAAATGCATACCCCCCCCCCCCAAAAAAAAACATATATATATATATATATGTAGATATATATATATATATATATATACACACTCGAAGCCCAAACCTGCGAAAATCTCAAACCCATAACAAGCTGCAGAGACAATATCGAAGCCAAAACCAAGGAAAATCAGACACCCTAAACAACTTTAAACAACATTCAAAACCAATACCTGTAATGTGGTTTAATAACAAGCTCTTGGAAATCTCTAAGCCAAAACCTGGGAGAGACTCAAACCCAAAAAACGCTTGAAACCTTGTTGTGGAAAAAACTCTTGGAAAACTCTGAGCCAAAACAACTCGAATGTAACAATTAAAATAAGAATACTTCCAAAAGCTTAAAACCTTTTTGGGCAACAAACATTCTAAACGCCTGAAAACTGTTTAAAGCAAACTGGGGCAAACCTTTAAAACACGAACTCTTGAAAGCTGTCATGATATCTCTGGCCGCCTGACAAACTCTAAACAACTCTGGGAAAGCACATAATAAACTCGATAGACTCTAGATGCAGACCCCTGCGGCCTCGGAAACTTACAACAACATGAGAAACTCTAAAACAATCCTGCCGTTTTGATAAGTTTTCAAGTGCGCAGATGTTTCCGATGTTTCTGCTTCAAGTTGTTCTGGAGTTTCGGTTTCAAGTTTTTGTTGTTGGGCTTGAGATGATCTCAGGCTTTGGCTCAGAGATGTGTGTTTGAAGTGTTTTGGGGGCTTGCGATTGTCCCAGGTGTTGGTTTAGAGATTTGTTCAAGTTTTGTGGGGGGGGTGAACTTCCTGTTGAAGATGCTCTGAGAGATTTCGGCCGGTTTTCTCGGTGGACCTCCTGCAGCATACCTGCCGAGCCTAACTGTTGGCGAGCCACGACGCTTCGCCACTCTTTGACAAGTGTTTGGACGCCCGAAATGGGTACGGACAGTCCTTGACAAATGTTTGGACACTCCTTGACAAGTGCGTGGACAGCGAATTCTGTTCAAAATGAACAGGGTCCACTGTTGGGCATTGTACCCATTCTTTCCGTGCCCATTTCGTTCGTGCAGAAGTGAGACGGCGGCGGCGGCGGCGGCGACGAGGGCGAGGCCGCCGAGGCCGAGATGGGAAGGCCGACGACGCCGACGCCGACCGCCGCGCCGCGCGGGCCGGCCCCGCCGCGGCCGCGCACCGGGCCCCCCGAGAGGCGAGGCCGCGAGCGGCGCGGCCGGCGCCCCCCGCCGCGGCGGGGCGCCGCAGACCGCCGCGGGCCGCTGGCAGCCGCGCCGCCGCCATGTCCGCAGCCGCGGGCCGCCGGCAGCCGCCGGCCGCAACCGCGGGCCGCCGAGGGCGGCGCGGAGCGCGGCCGCCGAGCCGGGCGCTAGCCGCCGGTGGCGGTGAGGCGCACGCCGAGGGAGGCGTCGGAGCCCTCGGGGACGCCCCAGGGGCCCTCCAGCAGCCACCTCTCCGAGCGCGGCCCGGCGGAGTGGCCCTGGCAGGCGGCGGGGGGGGAGGATCGGCCCTCCTCCCTCATGTCTCCCTGCTCGTGCACCTCGTGCCTCCTCCTCCTCCTCCTCCTCCTCCTCCTCCTCCTCCTCCTCCTCCTCCTCCTCCTCCTCCTCCTCCTCCTCCGTCGTCGTCGTCGTCGTCGTCGTCGTCGTCGTCGTCGTCGTCGTCGTCGTCGTCGTCGTCGTCGTCGTCGTCGTCGTCGCTGTGGTGTTGGCTCCCCGAGGCCTCGGGCGGCGGCAGCGCGAGGGTCGTCTCCGCCCGCCTTATCCGACGGGCCCCGCCCCGGCCGCGGGGCTCCAGAGGCGAGGAGGAGGACAGCACAGCCCATCACCGACACCTTTCCCCTGCGTCTCGTCCTCCGCTCTGCGGCGGTCCGCGCAGCGACCCAGCCCCGGAAGTGACTCCGGCGGCAGCGACGAGGGGCACACCATGGGGCGAGGAGGCCCTCCCGCCCTCGGCGGTGGACAAACCTCCCCTTAGTAAACCTCCCTTTAGTGAAAACGGCCTGGGACCGAAACCGCCGGACCTGAGCCCGCAAACATGACGACCGCGACGCCCTCTCGCGAACCGAAAACGGCCAATTCCTTAATCGACGTGTCAGGGTAGGAGGTCTGTCCACCCCCGAGACTCTTGGCCCCCAAGAACCGAGAGACACAACAACAACAACAACAACAACAACAACAACAACAACAACAACAGCAGCAGCAGCAGCAGCAGCAACAACAACAACAACAACAACCAAAAAAAAATCACTGGGTCGGGAGCGGGCGCCCCCGAAGGGACCCACCCAACCCGCGGGACTCCGGAGCCAGGAGGACAGCACAGTCCGCCCCCCACCCGTGAGGGTGACTCCTGGCCGCCAAGACCCGAACCACAAGCGATCGCCCCTACCTTCTCCCGTCCTGCCCGTGCCTCTTCCATCCCCCCACGTCCTTCTCGGGGGCGGCCAAGAGGGGGGCGTCCAAGAGGGGGGGCGCAAATCATGGCCGGCGGCGTGTGCGCGGCCCAAGGGGGGGGGCCAGGGAACGCATTGAATTAAGAAGCGGCGCCGCGAAACATGGGGAGATGCCATGGCCCTCGCCATGGTATCCACCGCCCCCCCTACCCTGACCTTCCAGAGCGCTAAAAAATAGCACTCCAGACCTACAGATCTATCTGGAGTGCCTCAGACCTCGAAGGGAATTGGGACATCGACGTCCTGGTGCTATGTCTTGCCCTCTTGAAGGTCGGGGTAGTCATCCCCCCCCCCTCTTTGCCGCCCCCGACCTTCCTTCGGGGATCTTCTGACCCGGGTCAATCCAGATCCGGGTCAGCAGGAAACCAAAAAACTGCAATGCAAGAGAAAACTGCAACGCAGGTCTTCGCAAACCCGTGTCAGCCAATATACGCGGCCGCCTCGCGGCCACGAGCGGCTCGCTAACCCGGGTCAGCCAGAGGGGGCTTCGCAGAATCCTGCAGGATGAGGTGCCCTGGCTGACCCCTGTTTGCATTGACCCCCGTCTCTTGACCCCTGGGGGAGGGGGGCCAGGGACCTAATGAAATAAGAAGGGGCGCCCTGAAATCTGAGGACGCATCATGGCCCCCGCCATGATATCCCCCCCCTAATCATCCCCCCCCCGCCCGAAATGGGTACGGAAAGAATGGGTACAATGCTCAACAACAAATGTTGTCCCAAACCAGCAGCGGCCGCTGTTGGGCAGGCGGCCTTCCGTCTCGAATGGACACAGGCCGCGGCGACACCGACAGCGAGTCCTGTTCAGAACGAACAGGAACCGCTGTCGGGCATTGTACCCACTCTTTCCGTGCCCATTTCGGGCGTCCAAACTCTTTGCCGCCCCCGACTCTTTGCCCCTCCCGACCTTCGGGAGCGGCCAAGAGGGGGGTGTCCAAGAGGGGGGGGTGCAAATCATGACCGGCGGCATGTGCGCGGCCCAGCGGGGGGGCCTGGGACGTAATGAAATAAGAAGTGGCGCCATGAAATCTGGGGAAAGATCATGGCCCGCGCCATGATATCCACCCCCCCCTAGTCATCTCCCCCCTCTTTGCGGCCCCCGACTCTTTGCCCCCCCCGACCTCCCTCCCGCCTCCCCGCGTTCCCGGGATTCGCCTCGGCGCCCAGGAGGGGCGCACTCGGGAGGAGGCGCACGGGGAGGCGCGGCCGATGCACGCGCTGCTCTCTCCCCCCTCCTCGCCGTGGCCGTTGGGGGAGGGCGGGGTCGAGAGGGAGGAGGAGGATGAGGAGGAGGCGGAGGAGGACGAGGAGGACGAGGAGGAGGACGAGGACGAGGACGAGGAGGAGGAGGAGGAGAAGGAGGAGGAGGAGGAGGGCCCACCAGGAGCCTCCCGACACAAAGCATCCACCCACCGCCCAGCGAGGACTCCCTAGATCACCAGGTCGGGAGTGGATGTCCTGGCCTGGGGTGAGGGAGTGGGTCGTGCGGTCCTCATTGGGAGAGGAGAGAGGGCAGGAGCAATCAGCATCGAATCAGACCGGGTCGGAACGTGTATCGAACCAGACCGCATCGGCCCGGAGTCGGAATCGAATCGACTCGTCGGCGCCAGGATGCAGAGCAGCGCCGAGCAACCATCGCCCGAAGGCTGGAATCGAACCGAGCCGAGCAGACCAGAGACGATCTCGGATCAGATCGATCGGAGCGAAATGGACACTGGGAGGGGAGGGAAGATGAGATGAATCTCCATCACCTCCTGTTCGTCGGTGGGCGGATCGTTATACTGGCGGGTTGATCGCGCGCCGCTCTGCGGGACCGTTGCGGGCAACCCCTGCGGGCGGCCTGGCACTGTGCGCCTCCAGCTCGGAAGCGAGGGCGTTCGAGAGCGAAGCAGGCCGGTTTGCCTCCGAGTGATCGTGGGCAGGACGGCGGCATGACGGCAAGATCTGTTTGACGCCGAGCACGCATGATCATATTGCACAGGACATCACGCAGGTCCTTCCTGGCCCGCCCGACGCTCTGTACCCCAACATCGCCTGCCCAGAACGCCCCCAGTACAGCTGCAGGACAGAAGCACGTGCGAGCCACAAGTAAGCGGGGCCCAAAGAGAGCCCCGAGAGGGCCAGCCTTGAGGAACCAAGGGGGTCCGAACAGGGCCTACAGAATCTCCCCAACGTTGGCAACATTGATGCAGCATTCTGGTCTTATCCCTTTTGGCATCCTGAGAAGGACTCCAGAGAGCCCCATGATAACCCCGGCGGGGCCTTAAGGGGTCCCAAGAGAGGCTGATTACAGATCCAGTAGCACTCCATTGGGGAGCAAAAGACTCAAGAGATCTTCAAGAGAGCCCCGAAAAGATGCTGGGCCCAAGAGGATTCCAGAAAGTCCCCAAGAGAGCCTCGCGAGGGCCGCAAGAGGAAACGACCCAGGGCGGGCTCCAAGAGAGCCTCGAGAAACTCCGAACAGGGCCCCAACTGGGCCATCAGAGGGGCCCAGACAGAACCTGCACTGCGCACAACGAGACCAACGGGTCCTGGAAGAGGATACGAAGGGCTCGACACGACAGCCTGTCAGGACGTGACCGCGCAAGGCGAGAGGATATCCAGCTGCATCATGAGCTGTATCCAGCTTGTGTCCTCCACGTCCTTGGGTGAACGGAACAGTACCCATTGCGCTGTTCCTGGACCTCTCCCAGGGTACATTCTGACCCGAACTTCGAGTCGAATCCAGCCGTGCCGACGATGGCTTCCAAAGAGGCCCAGAAAGACAGAAGCAAGGCAGAGGTACAGTCGGCCCGTATCATCAGGATGTGCGAGAAGGATGCAAGAGCCTTGGACGCCCATTTCGAAGCTTTTCGAGAAGGGCGCGGCCAACGAAAGTGGCCAAGCACGGACTGAGGAGGCAAGGATGCAAGGGTACCCTTGAGAAGGTTGCCCATCCTTACTATGCGGGTTGACTGTAGCGGTGTCGAGACTTCTTCCTCCTCTTCTTTGGTCCATCCGCGGCCCCAGAGAGATCCCGACCGCTTCCCCGGGGCCAGGGTGCCGTCCAAGAGCCGTTTTTTCGATGGCACCGTGCCCCGAAAGTTTGGCCCCTCAGGCCGACCTCGAGGAACACCGACCGGTTGAACAGATCGCATCGTCGGAGATCTGAGGAGATGGCCCGATTTTCCACCACCACTACCGTGGGTAGGAGAGGGAGGAGGGAGAGGACAAGAAGGAGGAGGACCTCCCCTCCTTCCCCTCCTCCCTTCTTCCCCGTCCTACCTAATTATGGTGCTGGTGGTGGAAGATCGGCCCATCATGGGGAGTGGCTGATTTCCTCCTTTGAGTCCTCCGTGTGGCACTCCACGAGTTTGATGCCCCTGCGCAGCAGCGCCAGCGCCGGCCGCGCCAGCTGCTGCCCCGAGAGCAGCAGCACCTTGGCCACCGCCTGCATCACAACACCGCCGTTGCCGTCCTCCAGGAAGCCGCGGCAGTGCAGGTGCATCAGCATCACCCGCAGCAGGTCGTGGTACTTCGCCAGGTCCTCGTCCTTGCAGGGGGGACAGGACGCGGCATGAACGTAAACGTTCGGAGTTCCGCTCGGATTTCTAGGTGTGGCGCTGAAGCTCCCCCCTATGGCGCGCCGAGCGCGCCAGGGGCGGCGCCAAAGGCGCCGCCATGGGGGTCCAGCGTCGACCCAAGAAATCCGCGCGGACCTCCAGAAGTATATCTTGGCAGTCGGACCTGGGCCAGAAGAACATCCTTCAAGAACATGAGACCCTCCCCCGGCCAAAGCACCCCAAACCCTGCGATCGCTCGAGAGTACCCTCCCCCAGGATGCACCAGAACGTCCAACAAGCACGAAGAGCATTAGGGCACCCTCCCCGAACCGACCTCGATCGCCTGCCTCGGTCCGACGGCGTGCCGTGTTTTGCCCCTCCGCCTTGAGCGCGCCCTGCTCGTGGATGCCGAGCAGCTCCGTGAGCATCTGGTGGCACGGCGTCGGGTGGACCCCGTTCTTCAGCGCCTCGATCCACATCGCCTCGTGGAGCACCGGCTCGGCCTCCTCGTGGCGGGCCTGCGAGATCAGGTTCTTGGCGAGCAGGTGGCAGGCGCTGCCGTACAAGTGGTGCTTCGGCCCGATGATAGGGGGCCACATGCGAACCCTACCCCTACCCCCCACGATTTCTGAGGGGGAGGGTGGGGTTCACTTCGCTCGAGAGCGCCCGAACGAAGTGAACCCCACCCTCCCCCTCAGAAATCGTGGGGGATAGGGGTAGGGTTCGCATGTGGCCCCCTAGATGACGCCCCTGTAGAGGCGCACCGCCTCCCGGAAGTAGGGCTCCGCCTCCTGCGCCAGCCCGAGCCGCGTGGCGGGGTCGCCCTCGGGCGTGGCCTCCGAGGCGCCCTGCAGGCACCCTCCGATGGAGTCGTTGAGCTTGGCCAGCGTGACGTCGTCCACGTTCGGGCTCCCCGGAGCCAGCTCCATCGCCTTGATCAGCTCCAGGAAGGCCTCCTTGTGCCTCTTCATGTGCTTCAGGGTGATGCCGATGTTCCAGTAGTCGTCGAACTTCTTCACCCCCTTGTTGAGCTCCACGGCCTTCTGAAACTTCTCCATCGCCGTCTCGTTCATGCGCAGGGAGTTATACGCCAGGCCTCCGAAACGACACGCATATCCAAGTGCATGCCCTCGCGGTCTGGATTCCGAGGCGCGACCCCCATGGACACGCGATCCCATGGATGCGCTCCGCGCGGGGCTTCCGCGCAACGCCGCCCCCCTTGCATGGGGTCGCAGCCGAGGAGTCTGGACCGCGAGGCTGCGGACACGGATGTACCAGAGGCCTCCCAGATGGGGTCCGAGTAAATAGGGTCGGAGGATCTCGCCACATCGAAGATACATCGGCGATGCATCGCCGATGCATCGGCGATGCGCTGCGATCCTCAGACCCCATCTAACCAACTCCCCCTGATAAGAATACCAGGGGGATAATAAAAAACGGGGCTTCGGGGGATAATAAAGGATATGTCCTGGCAAGTCGTAGGTGGGATGCACGACGAAGAAATAGGCCGTCGTCGTCGCACGAAGACGACGACGATTACAACGACAACGACGACAATGTCGACGACGACGACGACGACGACCTAGCCCTGCCACACGTACGTTCGTAACTCTGGAGGGGATCACAAGAAGGGGATGGGAAAGGAGAAAGAAGGGGAGGGGAGGAGAAGTGCGGGAGAGGAATGAGCCCCCCGATCAGTTTTTCCAACACAAATCTCATTCGGGCCGTTCCAGGTAGTTGGAAACGCCTGGGATAAAAAAAGCTGGTGGGGGGGGCTAGGCGGAAAGAGAGTAGTAGTAGTAGTAGTAGTAGTAGTAGTAGTAGTAGTAGTAGTAGTAGTAGTAGTAGTAGTAGTAGTAGTAGTAGTAGTAGTAGTAGTAGTAGTAGTAGTAGTAGTAGTAGTAGTAGTAGTAGTAGTAGTAGTAGTAGTAGTAGTAGTAGTAGTAGTAGTAGTAGTAGTAGTAGTAGTAGAGTCGTCGCAGTAGTGGTCATAGTAGTAGTAGTAGTAGTAGTCGTCGTAGTAGTAGGAGTCGTAGTCGTAGTCGAGTCGTAGTCGTAGTAGTAGTAGTAGTAGTAGTAGTAGTAGTAGTAGTAGTAGTAGTAGTAGTAGTAGTGGTAGTAGTAGTAGTTGTAGTAGTAGTAGTAGTAGTTCGTAGTAGTAGTAGTAATAGTAGTAGGTAGTAGTAATAGTAGAAGGGGTAGTCGTAGAGCTTAGTAGTAGTAGTCGTCGTAATAATAAGTGTAAGTAGTTAGTAGTAGTAGGTGGGTAAGTAGTAGTAGCAGTAGTAGTAGAAGTAGAGAGTGTAATAGTAGTCGTAGTAGGTAGTAGTAGTAGTAGTAGTAGTAGTAGTAGTAGTGGTGGTGGTGGTGGTGGTAGTAGTAGTAGTAGTAGTAGTAGTAGTAGTAGTAGTAGTAGTAGTAGTAGTAATAGTAGTAGTAGTAGTAGTAGTAGTCGTCGGAGTAGCAGTAGTAGTAGCAGTAGTAAAAGTAGTAGTAATACTAGTAGTAGTGGTAGCAGCAGTGGTAGCAGCACTGGAAATAGTAGTAAAGCACTGTAGTAGTAGACGTTGAAGTACGACTAGTAGTAGTAGTAGTAGTAGTAGTAGTAGTAGTAGTAGTAGTCGTCGTAGTAGTAGTAGTAATAGTAGCAGCAGCAGCAGCAGTAGTAGTAGTAGTAGTAATCGTAGTCGTAGTAGTCGTCGAAGTAGTCGTAGTAGTAGTAGTAGTAGTAGTAGTGTAGTAGTAATAGTAGTAGTAGTAGTAGTAGTAGTAGTAGTAGTAGTAGTAGTAGTAGTAGTAGTAGAAGTAGTAGTAGCATTAGTAGTCGTAGTCGTAGTAGTAGTAGTAGTAGCAGCAGTGGTGGTAGTAGTAGTAGTGGTAGTAGTAATTGCCGTAAAAATCGTAGTGGTAGGCGTAGTAGTGGTAGGGGTAGTAATAGTAGTAGTAGTAGTAGTAGTAGTAGTAGTAGTAGTAGTAGTAGTAGTAGTAGTAGTAGCACTAGTACTAGTACTAGTACTAGTACTAGTACTAGTAGTTGTTGTTGTAGTAGCAGTAGCAGCAGTAGTAGCAGCACTGGAAATAGTAGTGACGTACTGTAGTAGTAGACGTAGAAGTAAGACTAGTAGTAGTAGTAGTAGTAGTAGTAGTAGTAGTAGTAGTCGTCGCAGTAGTGGTCGTAGTAGTAGTAGTAGTAGTAGTAGTAGTAGTTCGCAGTGTTTTAGTGGTCGTAGTAGTAGTAGTAGTAGTAGTAGTAGTAGTAGTAGTAGTCGCCGTAGTAGTTGTAGTAGAAGTAGTAGTAGTAGTAGTAGTAGTAGTAGTAGTAGTAGTAGTAGTTAAGAGAAAAAAAGGAGTAGAAGAAGCAGTAGTAGTAGTAGTAGTACTAGGTGTAAGTAGTAGTAGTAGGTGTAAGTAGTAGTAGCAGAAGTAGTAGTAGGAGTAGTAGTAGTAGTCGTCGTAGTGGTAGTAGTAGTAGTGGTGGTAGTAGTAGTAGTAGTGGGAGTAGCAGTAGTAGTAGCAGTAGTAGTAGAAGTAGTAGTAGTAGTGATAGTAGTAGAAGTAGTAATACTAGTAGTAGTAGTTAGTAGTGAGTTATTAGTAGTAGTAGTCATAGTAGTAGTAGTTAGTAGTAGTAGTAGTAGTAGTAGTAGTGTAAGTAGTAGTAGTAGTAGTAGTAGTAGTAGTAGTAGTAGTGGTAGTAGTAGTAGTAGTAAGTAGTAGTAGTAGTGGTAGTAGTAGTAGTAGTAATCGTAGTAGTCGTAGTAGTAGTAGTAGTAGTAGTAGTAGTAGTAGAAGCAGTAGTAGAAGCACTGGAAATAGTAGTGAATTACTGAAGTAGTAGACGTTGAAGTACGACTAGTAGTAGTAGTAGTAGTAGTAGTAGTAGTAGTAGTAGTTGTAGTAGCAGCAGTAGTCGTATTAGTACT